TGGATTTCAGTTCTGGAAAGCTAGAGAAATATGCACCTACAAAAGGGGCTGGTGAGCTTGCTCTCACTAGAGATAGCTCTGAGTTTTGGTGGGTACATTGTGTAAAGAACCGACTAGATTGTGAGACACTTCATTCAAAAAATACTGACATCCCATCTAGCTATATTACTCAATGATAATAGTAATTTTCGAATCATTCTTCTTTCTAAAGAATCAAGTTTTGTTTCTTTTTCAATTATTTTTCTCAGAATTCCAAATTAAAAATAAAATAGCAATTATCCATGTTCAAAGGTCCTTTCATATGTATGATTAGATAGGACCAATATGCATTCTATAGATATTTTTGATTCAAAAATAAGAAACTAACAGTAAGGCTTTTCTTCTACAGCAGCATGCTAAGCACTTGATGCACATTTAATCTCATTTAACGTAAATTTAATGGGATAATGCTGGTACAGAGACATTATTAAAGACAAGCATTTTAAACCATTGCTTGAAAAGAAATCTACAGATGTTTCAATGCTCCAGGATCATAAACAAGAAAGGACTGTTGTCTAAACCAAGACCTAGTATAAGATTTTCCTAACCCATCTGGCTGTTGGTGTGAGGGCATGCTCTGGCATTATGAAACCTTACTCCTATTCAAACAATCATTAGGTAAATCTAAATGTGGGGCTGTATTCCTGTTTGACAGGCAGGAAATGACAAATTAGTGTCTTAAGCGATTAACAAAATATGTAATTAGATGCTATCGATCACCATAAAAGAGCCTGCTTTTTCTTACATCAGATAAGGGAGAATTTAGTCTACTAAGAACTTTCCATTCAAATTAAGCAGTAACTCTCTAAGGCCATATGAACAGTAAGCAGTGCTACTCGAACTCCTCTGCTGGGAAATAAAACAACAGCATTAGGCAGGGAAAACTTGTGAGGCCAGGAGCATACCTGGACTCCTAATCTTCCTTACCGCTTTGAGCTGGACGCTTCTTGTTTTTTCACTTCAGTATCCTCATTTGCAAACTGGGGGGAAATAAACTAGATGATGTATTAAGCTTGTTCCCAGTCTAACTTTCTCTAATCCTATAATTACAAAGGAGGTCAGGAGAAGACTCTTAGCAGACAACATCTTGACATTTCTACCAGCTTGGTGAAGTAGGAGAAGAGAGAGAGAACATCCACTCATAAAGGCTGGAGGGCAAAGGCCCAGAACTTCCTAGTTGACATAAGCAATTTCTCTTTGTTTCTTTTATTATTATTATTATTATTATTATACTTTAAGTTCTGGGTTACATGTGCAGAACATGCAGGTTTGTTACACAGGTGTACACATGCTATGGTGGTTTGCTGCACCCATAAACCTGTCATCTACATTAGGTATTTCTCCTAACACTATCCCTCCCCTAGCCTTCTACCCCTCAACACATACAGGTCCTGGTGTGTGATGTTCCCCTTCCTGTGTCCATGTGTTCTCATTGTTCAACTCCCACTTACGAGTGAGAACACATGGTGTTTGGTTTTCTGTTCCTGTGTTAGTTTGCTGAGAATGATGGTTCGCAGCTTCATTCATATCCCTGCAAAGGACATAAACTCATCTTTTTATGGCTGCATAATATTCCATGGTGTATACATGCCACATTTTCTTTATTCAGTCTATCACTGATGGGCATTTGGGTTGGTTCCAAGTCTCTGCTATTGTGAACAGTGCTATAATAAGCATACATGTGCATGTGCATGTGCCTTTACAGTAGAATGATTTATAATCCTTTGGGTATATACCCAGTAATGGGATTGCTGGGTCAAAATGTATTTCTGCTTCTAGGTCCTTGAGGAATCGCCACACTGTCTTCCACAATGGTTGAACTAATTTACATTCCCACCAACAGTGTAAAAGCATTCCTATTTCTCCACATCCTCTCCAGCATCTGTTTCCTGATTTTTTAATGATCGCTGTTCTAACTAGCATGAGATGGTATCTCATTGTGGTTTTGATTTGCATTTCTCTAATGACCAATGATGATGAGCTTTTTTTCATATGTTTGTTGGCCGCATAAATGTCTTCTTTTGAGAAATGTCTGTTCATATCCTTTGCCCACTTTTTGATGGGATTGTTTGTTTTTTTTTTTCTTGTAAATTTAAGTTCTTTGTAGATTTTGGATATTAGCCCTTTGTCAAATGGATAGATTGCAAAAATGTTCTCCCATACGGTAGGTTGCCTGTTCACTCTGATGATAGTTTCTTTTGCTGTGCAGAAGCTCTTTAGTTTAAGTAGACCTCATTTGTCAATTTTGGCTTTTGTTGCCATTGCTTTTGGTGTTTTAGTCATGAAGTCTTTCCCCATGCCTATGTCCTGAATGGTATTGCCTAGGTTTTCTTCTAGTATTTTTATGGTTTTGGGTCTTATGTTTAAGTCTTTAATCCATCTTGAGTTAATTTTTGTATAAGGTGTAAGGAAGGGGTCCAGTTTCAGTTTTCTGCTTCTGGCTAGTCAGTCCCTCCTGATTTAGTATTTGTGGGTTTTGAAAAAGGAGTTTCCCAAAATATTCAGTTAAACTTTTAAGTGACTTATGTGTATATCTAAATGAATGATCAATTAATATTTGTCTTAAAAGGGTTTTCTTTGTTCTTTTCTTAGTATAGGATGGTTAAACAATGTTCTTATTTATGACATAGCTTCACAAACAGGAAGGAGGTTTTTAGTTCCACAATTTGGGTAGATGTGTATTTAAAGAAACATTGTTGCATAACAAACACTGCCTCTTCCTAAAATGCATCCTACCAGAGGCAATTTTGGAAAACACAAATATGAGGTAAGTACATTTTGCAAACTATGTGAATATAATAGAACCTTAATTAATATTTGTGGCTTTTATGGGAAATACTTGTTTTCTAAGGCATCTGTCTTGCAAAAAGTCAGTCTCTGCTATGAAGAAAGTTAAAGAGGACATGTAGGTTAAATTCTGTTTCTTAGCTTTGCTTCCAGAGTAAACACCCAACTTACTTTTGCCCTAAAGTTTTTTTATTGTTCTAGTAAAGAAGACTAACAATATATTCTAAACCACTAAGTAATTTATATAAACTTCACTTACAACCTATATTCATGTGACATATATATGTGCAAAAGCACTTTCATATTTACTACATCATTCAATTCTCGTTCACCCCAGTGGAAGTGACTTTATGCCCCTTTACAGATAAAGGAAATTAGGTACTTTGTGATTTCTCTTAAAAAAAAAAAAAGTGAATTAGAAAGCACCAAGTTAGGTCAATCTGGAACCTGGGTATTCCAATTCCAATTGTAGTGCTTCCTCCCTATCCATCACTCCTGTCTACATGTAATTATGCAATACACTGAAAAGATTAAAAGATGGGTCATGGACTCAGGCAGACCTGGGTCAAATCCAGATTCTAGCACTGCCCGGCCATTGCCCCTGGGCAAGCCATTTTCCTCTTTAAGCCCCATTTGTGAATTAAGCTAAAAATAATCCCCACCCCCATGGGACTGTGGGAAGAATTAAACAGAATAATGCATGAAAAGCACATAGCAGAATGGACCATAAATGTTAGCCATTGTTAGTTATTATGTAATCTACAAAGTATGTTTATACACTTCATGAAATACTTTCAATTTTTCAAAGGCACCACTAATACATGGGAAATCAAACTCTGAAAATTAATTTAACTTTAGAGGTAAAGTCACATGCCAGATGCAAAGGATAGTATTTCATGAACAAAGATCTTAGTTTTGAGATTTGGTCTTACTTTATTTTTTTAAGGGAGAATTATCTTTTGCTGTCTATAGTTCCAAAATGTTCTTAATCTTAAGACATTCTTAATACTCTGAATCATATGAATTTGCCATTTTGGTAAGTCACAGACACCAAATGGTGGCAATCTCATATGGCTCAACCTGAAAGATTAGCAAACTATCCAGCGGATGAAAGGATTTTTTTTTTTAGTTGCATTGGGATTACTGAAGAAATTGTTTGAATTCTCAGTGCATCTCCGGTTCAACAGATGAGTGAGTGATGCCACACTCTTATTAAGAGTTAAAAACAAAACAAAACTAAAACGAAAGCACACAACTTTCTCTCTCCGTCCCAAAATACATACATGCATACCCCCTCTCCGAATGAAATCCAAAGGGTAAAACTGTCTTGATGCCTGCAAATTCCCAAGGAGGGCACCGAAAGTACTTGACAGCGAGTGTGCTGAGGAATCGGCAGCTGCTGAAGTCACCTCCTGCGATCTTGCAAAATGTCTGAAAGGGAATATACTGGATTACCAGGTGTAGGGTGGGAGAGGGGCATTATCAGTGCTCAGGTGAGGGAAGTTTGTGAGTACCCAGATGGAGACATCCGCCTCTGTGTCGCTCTGCGTGCCTCTAAGCCGGCGTGTGTGTTTACTTTTTTGTGTGTCACCATGCCTTTGTGCTTCTGGGTGCTTCTGTGTTTGTTTCTGGCCGCGTTTCTGTGTTGGACAGGGGTGACTTTGTGCCTGACGGCTTCTGTGTGAGCGCGCTCGCGAGTGTGCCTGCGGGTGCCCTGGGAGGGTGTGTCTCGGTGTCTATGGCTGTGGTTCCGTATAAGTCTGAGCATGTCTGCCGGGGTTGCCTGTATGTGCGTGCCTCGGTGGGTACTCTCGTTTCCCTCCGTTTGTGGGGCAGTGCCTGTGTGCTGCCCTTTGCCCTGAGACCTCAGGCTGCACAGGAGCCCAGGGCAGGCAGGTAGCGGCCACAGAAGAGCCAAAAGCTCCCGGGTTGGCTGGTAAGCACGCCAGCTCCAGCTTTAGCCCTCTGGGGCCAGCCCGGGTAGCCGGGAAGGAGTGGTGGCCCGCCCGCCAGAGAGCAGCTGGGCCCCGCCCGGGCCAGCCCCAGGAGAGGGAGGGTGAGGGGAGGGTAGGAAAGCGGAGGGGTGCCTCGCCCCTTCGGGGCTGCCGGCTTGCCATTGGCCGAAAGTTCCCGCACGTCACGGCGAGGGCAGGTCCCCTAAAGTCCTGTGCACATAACGGGCAGTGCGCACTCCGAGGCGGCTTCTCCAGAGCGCGGGCTGAAACTGCCTGGCACCGTGAGCCCCTAGCACCCGACAAACTAAGTGTGCAGGACGTGCCCCCACCACACCCACCTCACGGCCGCTGAATGAGGCTTCCAGGCGTTTGTTCGCTGCCCGCAGAGCCCCGCCGAGGATCCGCCCGCTGAGGCGCCGGCAGCCAGTGCGCTCACCTGCCAGACTGCGCGCCATGGGGCAACCCGGGAACAGCAGCGCCTTCTTGCTAGCGCCCAATGGAAGCCACGCGCCGGACCACGACGTCACGCAGGAACGGGACGAGGCGTGGGTGGTGGGTATGGGCATCGTCATGTCGCTCATCGTCCTGGCCATCGTGTTTGGCAATGTGCTGGTCATCACAGCCATTGCCAAGTTCGAGCGTCTGCAGACTGTCACCAACTACTTTATCACTTCACTGGCCTGTGCTGACCTGGTCATGGGCCTGGCAGTGGTGCCCTTTGGGGCCAGCCATATTCTCATGAAAATGTGGACTTTTGGCAACTTCTGGTGTGAGTTTTGGACTTCCATTGATGTGCTTTGCGTCACGGCCAGCATTGAGACCCTGTGCGTGATCGCAGTGGATCGCTACTTTGCCATTACTTCACCCTTCAAGTACCAGAGCCTGCTGACCAAGAATAAGGCCCGGGTAATCATTCTGATGGTGTGGATCGTGTCAGGCCTTACCTCCTTCTTGCCCATTCAGATGCACTGGTACCGGGCCACCCACCAGGAAGCCATTAACTGCTATGCCAAGGAAACCTGCTGTGACTTCTTCACGAACCAAGCCTATGCCATTGCCTCCTCCATCGTGTCCTTCTACGTGCCCCTGGTGGTCATGGTTTTCGTCTACTCCAGGGTCTTTCAAGTGGCCAAAAGGCAGCTCCAAAAGATTGACAAATCTGAGGGCCGCTTCCATGCCCAGAACCTTAGCCAGGTGGAGCAGGATGGGCGGACCGGGCATGGACTTCGCAGGTCTTCCAAATTCTGCTTGAAGGAGCACAAAGCCCTCAAGACGTTAGGCATCATCATGGGCACCTTCACCCTCTGCTGGCTGCCCTTTTTCATCGTCAATATTGTGCATGTGATCCGGGATAACCTCATCCCTAAGGAAGTTTACATCCTCCTAAATTGGGTGGGCTATGTCAACTCTGCTTTCAACCCCCTTATCTACTGTCGGAGCCCAGATTTCAGGATTGCCTTCCAGGAACTTCTGTGCCTACGCAGGTCTTCTTTGAAGGCCTATGGGAATGGCTACTCCAGCAACAGCAACGGCAACACAGGGGAGCAGAGTGGATATCCCCTGGAACAGGAGAAAGAAAATAAACTGCTGTGTGAAGACCTTCCAGGCACGGAAGACTTTGTGGGCCATCAAGGTACTGTGCCTAGCGATAACATTGATTCACAAGGGAGGAATTGTAGTACAAATGACTCACTGCTGTAAAGCAGTTTTTCTACTTTATAAGACCCCCCCCCCCACCAACAGAACACTAAACAGACTATTTAACTTGAGTGTAATAAACTTAGAATAAAATTGTATAGAGATATGCAGGAGGAGGGGCATCCTTCTGCCTTTTTTATTTTTGTAAGCTGTAAAAAGAGAGAAAACTTATTTGATTATTTGTTATTTGTACAGTTCAGTTCCTCTTTGCTTGGAACTTATAAGTTTATGTCTGAAGGGCTTTAGTCCTAGAGGACCTGGGTCTGCTATGTTTTGATGACTTTTCCGTGTATCTACCTCACTATTTAAGTATTAGGGGTAATATATTGCTGCTGGTAATTTGTATCCGAAGGAGATTTTCCTTCCTACACCCTTGAACTTGAGGATTTTGAGTATCTTGGACCTTTTAGCTGTGAACATGGACTCTTCCCCGCTCCTCTTATTTGCTTACACGGGGTATTTTAGGCAGGGATTTGAGGGGCAGCTTCGGCTGTTTTCCTGAGCAAAGTCTAAAGTTTACAGTAAATAAATTGTTTGACCATGCCTTTGTTGCACCTGTTTCTCCAAAACCTCTTGACTGGAGTGCCGTTGCTTCCCCCACTGGAAACCACAGGTAACTACTTGTAATAACTGCCCATGACTTAATGTGGAATGATACAAGAATGGCATGCACAGATTGCTTAACCCTTTCATTTGCTTTTGAATCTGCTGCTGCAAAGCTGCATCTCTCCTGACACTTGTGCCCCAAATCAGTTCTGCCTGCTCTTAGTATAGCTCAGCTCTCCCTATGGTTATTGTTCTGTGTTGTTACCTCAGCAACACTGACTCATAGAAACGGAGTTATAGGCATATGTTTTCTTCCCTTCACACACCCCCACCACCCACCTTCCAGTTCTACTTGTTTCATAACTGCTTATATTTATGTTTTGGCCATGTCTTATAGCGGAGCTCTTTGTACTGCATCAGGGCTTGGAATTTTAGGGATAAGGAAGATGTTCTTATGAAAAAGCTACTCAGACATGGCCCTGTAATTCCACGGAATAATTAAAAGGGCATTGGACATGGGGAGAAAAGCGGGAGAACATATAACTGATGGTTACCTCATGACCTCAAAACAGAATTTTAACCCCTTTTTCTTCCTTCCTTTGGTCCTTGTTTTCTTCTCCCATTGACTCACCTTACTTCCGTCTAAACCAAGGTTCTGAGCCTTGACACTGTTAGCGTTTTGGACCAGATAACTCTTTGATGTGGGGTCTGCATCACTGGGTGTTTAGCACCTCTGGTCTCTATTCATTAGATGCCAATAGCACCCCCTGGTTATAATAAGCAAAAATGTCTCCAGACATTGCAGAAGAGCCCCTGAGGTGTGAATTCACCCCTGGTTGAGAGTCACTGGTAGAAACTTAAAAATCTAAGCAGATACATACATTCTTTTTAACGCAAGCACTTGATGGTGCAGAACCTCAGTGAGGGATTTTCACAGTTCACCTAGGGCAGCACTCTTTCCATTCCATCATGCTGCCTTCAAAACTTGCTTTCTAGCTGCCCAAAGAGTGACCACGAAATGTTAAGAAGCCTTTAGGTCTCTACATGAGTTGTTTGGGAGGGTTTATCAATGGAGGTGAGGCCTGTGGGCCACTCTGCTTGTGAAGAGATTATAATACTGTCAAGAGGCACGTTAGGGGAAATCACAAAAGTAAACACATTTCTTCTCCCAGCCCCTTTCTATTTTTGCCTGGGTGTCTGAGCCAGAGCTTGGCCCAGGTTTGATGAAGTGGATCGTCCTCCTTGGCAATGCCAGGCTGGAGCGGATCAGCCTGCAAGGTTCATTGCCATTTCACTGGCTTATGAAACTGACTCCACTCCCCTCTTCCTTTCTGTCCCAGCCAAGGTCCCCAACCAGAAAAGTATTGTCCTTCTCTGCTTCCTGTCGGCTCAATGATGGGACGTTTGGGTGAGCACTGTGCTCTCAGGAGACTGTTAGTTGCCTGTGATTTTGGAACATGCCATAGCAGATTGGAGAGTGTGTGTCATTCAGTGCTTTTACTTTTCTCCAAGGCTTTTCATGCCTATTATCACATTCTCTTTCTACTGCTCTGGTCCCCGCCCTCAGAGATTTGGGCAGCTTCTTTTGCTAATCTTTATGCTCCCGGTAGCCTCATAAGATCTCAGATGTGGAAGAGCCCATAGAAAGCGTTTAACATCTGAAGGGACTGAAACCCTGTGAGGCGAAGGACTTGCCCAAGGTAAGCAGCCAAGGATGTCGGAGTGGGATTCAAGCCAGGGAACCCGACTGCTATTCCAGGAACTGCTTCATTCTCTCCAACACATTGGCACTGAGTTCTTTCCTCACCCTCAATTGGGGCTATAACATAACACATTCGTTTCAACCCAAATATTTTTCTTTTGGGTCCTTAACACAAAATTTAGGGCATAAACAAGTAATCTGCAATAGGGAGGCAAAAAAAAAAAAAGATTTGCTCATTTAACGCAACAAGATTCCACTAGGATATCTTCTGCTTTTAGGGAAGCTGGGAGAGTCCTTAGCTCTTTATAACTGGATGTTGGTGTTTTATATATACTCTTTTGCCTAAAGGAACATCTAATGTAATTTCTGTTAAAAATTTAGGTATATTTAAAAAATGTAGATAGTAATATGAATAGTTAATTCAGATTCCCAGCTAAAAGGAGAGTTTAACCATATTCAGGTTCCTGTAGGAATACTGTAAGCACAAAATCTTTGATTAGTTTTAAAGGTCCTCATAAGCAACTGTATTCTAGGCATATCTTAATCCTTTGCTTTCTATCTCTTTGGTGTGTTGCTTTGTTTCTTTTGGGGGATTGGATTTGTCAGTGTCTCTTCCTCTCTCTTTTGCTGACAAGCTGGCTGCCTAAGGTTTGTGTTGTATTCATCACCATAAAGTTTTCTTTGCCTGGACAGCAAGTTCTCAGAGTCTGTCAAGTAAGAACTTTTTTTCTAAGATGCAAGCTGACAGGTATGAACAGTGGCAGGACAGGGTGAGCCTCCCCACTGCAATAATTAATGGGAAAAAGAATCTGGAGAAAAGGGAGCTTGCAAATAGCAGTTGTCTTTACATGATTCTTAGAGTGTTTCTGATGGTGAACCTACTGCCAAATGGAGCCTAAACCAGCATCCATCAAAGTATTTATGGAGCACCTACTGTGTGCAGCATTAGAAAAGTATAGGTTTCAGTTTCTCCCTTTTGGAGTATGACTTTAATGATACTATGTAGATACCTTTTATGGAATCTTACTAAATGTTAATGACTATGTTGGACACCTGTGAGGCATTGTGTCCTTTCTACAACTGTATGATGTAGGTAGCATAATTGTCTTCATCTAACAAATGAGGGAGCTGAGGTTCAGAAAGATTCAGTAACTTTCCAAAGCCATAAAACCAACTAATTTCAGAGTCAGGACTAGAACCCAGGTCTCTGTGATTCCAGGATCCATGGAGCCTAGCACCCAGGCAAACCAGGAAGCAGCATGAGGTAGCTTAGAATTCATGCCAGAACAAGTGTAAGAACTGGAAATGCAATACCTTGCTGAGAGAAGAGGGAGATTGCTGTGGGTTGAGGCAGGGAGGAATGTTCCCTTCCAAGCATGTGACTGCAGGGTTGCTGGGGACTGGGACAAGAAACCAATCACTGAGTGCCTAGTTTGCTTCTCTGAGTCTTTCTTTTGTCTTCTTATCAGAGAATCAGACTAAAATGGAAAGAGGATATGAAACTCTAAAACGAACACAGCAGAGTAAAGCAGAAACACAGGATGCCCTATGTCCTAGCAAACTCTCAGCCCTAAAGTTAGAAAGGTCTCCTAAATTGAGTAGGTAGCTAGACTCTTGCAGAAATTTGATAGGCCTGGGTAGCTGTGTAGGTATGTTGTCTATCTTAAGCTAGGATTCTAGAGCAAGGGAGATGATTTTCTGACAGCAGAGAGCAAGGAAGGTTAATACACTTTGAATGATGATACTTTTCATTGACAGTATAACCTCTACTAAATTCAGTCTGTGCTAATCTGTACTTCACTGACAGGGCAAATATAATTTGAAGGAGGGATTTTTCTAAATGCGTAAGAGAACAAACTTCTTAAGCACTTTCAAGAACTTGAGAAATTCTGCTGTGTTATGAATAACAGGAGGCAGGGTGAGGAGAAAAGAGCCCCCCAACCTCCCACCCACCCCACTCTCTCTCTCTGAAGTTGGGTAAGGCGGTTTTCCTCAGCAGACTTCCGTTTGCTCATCTGTAACTTGAGGCCAGTACAGGTAGTATCTAAGCTCTGTTCCACTCTGAATGTATACAGTTGTTCATTTAGAGACTCGAGACTAGAGGCAACCATTTCTATTTCTAATTAGAGTTGATGACATTTGCCATACAAACAATGGTTGAATATTCTGAAGGTGCAGCCTGCAGAAGAGAATGCTGTGAAGTACTACTATTTGGTGCATGATAATTGCTTTTGAGAATGATCTGGGAAAAAAAAAAAAAAATTCCCAGTTCTGCTGAATACAAGAAGGCAAGCCGGACCTTACAGAAAGGTAGATTCCAGCTCAGGTATAGGAAGACTTTCCAAAGAGGAAATAGATGATCTATCAGAATAGTGAACTTCCCATTCTGGGAAGCGTTCAAGAGAAGCCCAGATGAAGCTCTGTTCGGGATGAAGCACAAGGCCTCCTGCACCGAGCAGGAGGCTGAGCTAGGCTCTTTCCAAATCTGTGATCTTATGTCCTTGAATACAATAGACCTGAATGTTCTTAAAACTAATTCCAACTGTTCCCTATTTCCAGCTGGCCTGCTCCCCAACTCCTCTGGATTTCAGAGGTTTCGCTGCATTCCTAAATGAGAAACCTCTGGGGGAAATCAGGATCTCAACAGCCTTTGGCCATGAGGAGAAATCCAGAAATAGAGCAATAAGGTTAAGCAGTTTTCCAAACTATTAGACCTTTTCATCAGCTGCTCTTCCCATGCCTTTTGCAAATGACCTACTAACTCCCAGAGCGAGAATAATGAGAGCTGCAAAGTCCTCTCTGCAAAGACTATTACATCCTCTCTACCCTCGGAATCATTGCACTTCCTGTGGTCTTTTCGTCACCCTTAGGGGCAGGAAGGAATAGAAGCAGGTTCCTGGCTAGCACTGGAACACTTAAGCTTCTAGCCCCAAAGCCTGGAGACCTGGGGTCTGTCATAGCCCAGCCACTAAGAGTCGGTAACCTCAGGCAGGCCACTTCCCTTCTCTAGACGCATATCATCATCACTAAAGAGGGATACTTTGGTTTATATGGGTTCTCTGTTTCCTTCTTCCTCTAAAATTCTGTAAGATTTAGGAAAGTCTTTAGTACTGCACATCTGCCTGCGTTGCTTTTATTTTTAAAAGCACACTTTTTTTCTTTCTAAGAGGGTAGTAGATATTTATCATAGGACATTTAAAAGTATATGAAAGTACAAAATGAGATAAATCACACTTAATGTCACCACCTGAAGACAATTGTTCATAAATTTGATGATGTATGTGCGTCCGGTCTTTGTGCTAAGCCTAGCTATTCAAATGTACATAAATATATTTTTAATGAAAATGGAATTATATTATTTATACTGCTTTGGATCCACTGCTGATGCTTTTACAAATGCTCTCTTGAACTTATTTTTATACATACTGTGATACAGATATTATAATCCCTGTTTGCCCATTGGCCTGATTTTATAGAGTGTTCAGGTGCAAAAGAACCACCACTCCCAGAGAGATTGAATCACAAGGTCTGAGTTGGGGTCTAAGAATCTGTATTTTAGCAAGTTCCTCCAGGTTTTCCAACACAGATTGTCCATGGATCACATTTTGAGGAACAAGCCTACATAGATATAAGCTTTGTATAAACCAGATAGAATCCCTACCCCTGTCCCTTGCTAGTGGATGAAAAAAGTGTTTCTATACTTACCTTGTTGAAAGCACACTTTCTGCACCTGGGCTTTAATCTGTTTTCAGAGCAGAGGAAACTAACCACTGAACACCCAGGACAGAGTTCTTTCAACATTGTTGAATGCCTCCTACCCAGCCTGTTGATTTGTGTAAAAAGAAGTCTATTCAGGTCACATAGTGACCAATAACTTCTGTTTGGAAAAGTGCAGTAGGTTTCTATTCTTACAGAGAGCCTCTTGTGATAATAGTAACTGCTAATAGCTACAGAGTGCTTCTTATGAGCCAAGCATTATAATTGGCAATTCTTGTGCATGCTCTCATTAGTATTCACACCAACTCTAGGAAATAGTGCTATTATGTTTGTCATCATTTTATAAATAGGGAAACTGAGACTATCAGCAGTTAACTCGGTTGTCCAAGATCACATAACCCATTGGAGTGAAACCAAGGTATTCTGAAGCAGAGTTTATGTGTGTGTTTTGCCACTAGAATAGGCTGTCTTTTCTCGGTTGGGAATTAGGTAAGAAAGAAGGAAGGAGAAGATTATTAGAGCATATTGTTAATGGGTGCATTTTGTTCTAATTCTTCATGGAATCTTCTCAGAGGGGCCCCATTCATTTATGCCCCTTGAGACCAAGAAGCAAGCCCTACTGTCTAGGCAGGTTGTGATTAAGCATAAACTAGGAAACAAGATTGTACTTGGAGTCAGCATCTCTGTCTTTCACCATCATTCAGACACAGTTTCAGTGAGCTTCCCCCACCAGATAGGAGGGCAGAAGGAGGCACCTGGTAACAGCACATTAGTTTGCACTGAGTCAAATCACCGCTTTCAGGCCAGAAAGCTCTTGACATCTGGAAATTGGGTGCCTTTCCCATGTCCCTGACAAGGTCTGTGTCAGTATCTGAGGTTTCTCGTTAGAGAATATCAGGGTGAGATGGGCCATGACAGAGCTTGTATCTCCTTATTCCTTAGTGCACCGGCTGCAAAACCTGGGCTCAAGGTGGCTGGGGTCACTGGGCAAGGTAGTACAGGCCCCGAGGGAGCATGCTCTCTGCTGGTTCGGTTTATTATTTTTTTTCCAGTGCTGTGAGGGGAGGACGGGAGTTTTTAAATGTGTTTATATATCCAGGAAAAGAAAACAGCGTTTAAAATCATAACAGCAACACCCATGACAAAGCAAAAGTGGAATTCTAGGGAATGGTTGCTTTGTTTTCAACCACACCATACTGATTTTGTAACCTAAGGCTTGTGTTCCAAAGCCACAACTCTGTCTGGGGATTTTTCTTCATTTCTTCAATTCTGTCTCTAAAATGAATGCCTAGTTTTCTTTTTATAAAAATCCGTGTAGATTATCTCTAAATATCACAGACAACCCTGATGGTCTGTTGGTGGATTTTCATTGCTGTTGTTTTATTTTGGTTTGTTTGTCTGAGAGGTCCTCACAGTTCTTGTGATACGTATTGCAAAAATAAGCCTGTTCTGCTCACAATGTTGCTCACAAACATTCAAAGTGGGTTTCTTGTTTCATTTTCACCATCATCTATAAATCCAAACGTTCACCCAGCATCCTCAGTTCAAAAGAAGAGAGGGTTAACCTGAAGGACAGAGTGGTGCCAGCCTTAGAAATATCTTTTTATAGAATTGTGCAAGGGCTAGTGGTGTCAGTTGAGGTATAAGTTTCTTGATATTATTTTATTTTATGGCGGTGGGTCCCTAACCTTACAGAGCACAGAAATGATTTGGGGGAACTTCTGAGAAAATGCACATTCCTGACACCCATTCTGAGATTCTGAGCTAATAGGATTGTAGTTGGGGGCCAGGAATCTGCATTTGCCACAACTTTCCCAGAGGATTGTAAAGCAGGTGGTCCAAGGATTGCAATTTGGGGCCCTGGAGATCACACTGTCTTCTTCTTCCCTCCCTGCTCTACAGCATGAAAAGTAGGCAAATAAAAGCTGATCCTACGTGGCTGTATGCATGCACACAAATAAACATTTGGTCAAATAAGCAGAATCCAAATTTTCCTGTATTATCAAATTTAAAAAAGAATATGAAAACAATTTGTAAATTAACATAAAAGAGGAAGGTGATAATAAAATGCCTTGAGCAACTAGGCACTTAATTAAAATTGTGTTTTGTCACCGACATGGCATCTAAACAGTGATACCTCCAATCTCCCAATAGCATCACTGTCACCTAGACCCTGGCATGTAAGGGCATGTAAATGGGGAGGTAGCAGCCCAGGAAGAAAAAAGAATTTTCTTCCACTGATAGGGTCCTAGTCCAGTGCCCCTTCCTCCACCACACCCTGCCTTGGGTTACGTCAAATCATACTAAGGTACATATGGATCAGTTCACCTAATGCACATAAACTCTCCTTCTTAGAAACCTGAAAGGGGACCCACCCAGTTGCAAAGAAAAATATGACTCACACACATATATATATACTTCCACAGATGCACACACCCAAATAAACACACATAGACTTTTACACTGATGCCTATGCCCATATCAACACAAATGCACACACATGCATTTTCATATAGATATTGTATAAATCTAAGTTATTTTGTGTATACTTCCATAATGAATGCATACATAAATGTAGGATGTAGACATACTCAGTATATATCTTCCTTAGACAGAACACTCTTCCTTAGCTATATATTGGCATAGGGATCCCTAAGCAGACTTCTGTGTGCTCCAGGTAAGCAAATATGCTGTGTCATGTTATCATGGTCATGCTGATACCTAAGTACACACAGATTCATATGCTGACCCCTCTCCCTATGTAAGTGTATACACCTTTGATTCAATACATGTCAGTAAGGTTTGGCTGTGTTTCCACCCAAATTTCATCTCCAGTCATAGCTCACATAATTCCCACATATGTGGGAGGGACCTGGTGGGAGATAAGTGAATCATGGGGGCAGTTTCCTTCATACTGTTCTCATGGTAGTGAGTAAGTCTCAGGAGATCTGATGGTTTTTTAAGGGGAAACTTCTTTCACTTGGCTCTTACTCCTGTCTGCCGCCAAGTAAATATACCTTTTGCATTCCACCAAGATTGTGAGGCCTCCCCAGCCGTTTGGAACTGTGAGTCCATTAAACCTCCTTTTCTTTATAAATTACCCAGTCTCAGGTATGCCTTTATCAGCAGCGTGAAAATGAACTAATACACATGTGTATTGAGTTCTCATTATATGCCAGGAACTATTTGGTGCTGAAGATCAGTGGCTGAACAAAAGCAGTGGATCCTTGCCCTTACTACATCTGCATATAATGGAAGAGGTACATTTTAAAATTGCATACCAAATGGCAGCTATAGTAGGTGCTATGAAGAAAATACAGGATGTTTTGAGGGAATCAAGATAATTCTGGGAGGTCAATCAATGTTCTCCCAAAGAAGTAAAGTGTCAAGAAATACCTGAAAAATGACTAATTCCTAGAAAAACAGAAGAGGGAAGAACATAGCACTAAGGGAGAAAAGCATGTGCAAATGGCCTGGGGTGAAAGGAGACCTCTGGATAAGAAAGGCTAAGCAAAGGACAGTGTAGCTGTGTGCAGAGACAGGAAGGGCATATTGGGGCAAGGGCTGAGCCTGCAGGAGGCAGATAGGGTCACGCTGTGAAGGGCCTTTTAAGCTTCATTAAGAATTTGGATCTTTAGCCTTA